CGTATCGGAGTCCCGTCCGCTCCAGAGCCCGCCGGCGTATCGGAATCCTGTCTGCTCCAGAGCCCGCCGGCGTATCGGAGTCCCGTCCGCTCCAGAGCCCGCCGCCGTATCGGAGTCCCGTCCGCTCCAGAGCCCGCCGCCGTATCGGAGTCCCGTCCGCTCCAGAGCCCGCCGCCGTATCGGAGTCCCGTCCACTCCAGATCCCACCGCCGTATCGGAGTCCCGTCCGGTCTAACTCGCCGCCGTATCGGAGTCCCGTCCGCTCCAGAGCCCGCCGCCGTATCCAGCTCGCTTCCGTATCGGAGTCCCGGCCGCTCCAGCTCGCCTGAATGGAACAACGCCCCCGTTTGGGTGCATCGCGTCGCAAGCGCACCAGGCACGGCCGTCGGAGCCACAGATCCCCGCCCAAGGGCCAGATATCACCTTCAATTAGCTTAAAGAGTCATATTCGGTCTACGTGCATCACCATCAAACATATTTGGGCAGCTTCCGCATGGTGTTTCAAAATTCGCGATGCCTAGATTTTCACGATGCAATGGAGAGCAGCTATAAAACATTAACTGTGGTGGTGGTGTGCGGCCCAGTGCCCAGCGGTTCATGGTGGCAATGGCCTGCAGATACGCGTACTCTTGGGCACTGCTGCTGAAGCCTACCGTTACCATGCACCCAAACCGTCAGGAGTAGCAGCAAAAAACACCAGCAAAGTTCAGTTCTTAACCAAGTTGTTCCACAGTGCGCAGGTTGGAAAATCTGAAGGCCCTGAACTCAATGGTTGCCACATGCCCCTACATCTAACCAATGAATATGGAATGAACATGTCACTAATTGACTGATATATGTCCTCCAGGCTCACATAGCACTGGACATCAAATAAAACATCTTTTCTCACGCCTTACAGCATCACCCTATGAGGTACACTAAGGAAAATATTGGACACAGGGATTTCCTTACATCAATCAGATTCAGGAATTGACAATGAAATTGCTTTCTAAAGCGATAACCAAGCATGTAGTTATCTGGCACATTTATGGATGTCTAACACATGGTTGACATTAATGAACAATTAAGAGCACATGCCAATAGCCAACAATGAATTTGGTGTGGATTATCGATGCCTAAGGTAAAGATCCTTCTAGCCCAAAATGCTTCGGTCAATATAATTTCAATGTAGATTAAACTTGCCCTGAAGTTGTGTTGAACGACATGCCTCACGGAAACACTGTAATCGTTATGTACTCTGTAATCTGCAGAGAATAAATGAGTATAAGAGCGCGCCCGATGCAGAAACAGGGGTTAAGTGAGACCATGACACCCCTCATTTCAAGAATGCTTGGCATTCGGTAGGTATGCATACGGGGGCGTAGTTTCACAAAATTAGTTGGCGAGCTGAAGACCGAAAAATGATGAAACCTGGCCTCAAAATTGCGCCAGCAAACAGGCTTCTCCTGGCTTAACCGACTTTCTTCTCAAAGCTGGGCTATGGTACCTGAGTTGGGGGGGGGAAGTGGCGGACGGGACCCCACTAATTGAATAGGAAAGTGTTACCCTGCTACCATCTGACAATGTATGGCAAGAATCAAATACCGCATCCTCCTTTAACCTAGTTTGTACTGGCTCAGCTGCGGCATCTCGTGCTCTTGAAGCATCCGCGATATTGCAAAGCAGTAGAATCACAGAACGAAACGCTGCGAGCTTTCCTAACACTTAAAATAAGCTTTGAAACACTTTACTGCGCAAAACAAACACTGCGCTGATTGCGACATTTCTGCCGAGATGCGGCGACAAAACCGGCCGCGACCAGGCGATATCAGATCAAGGACCCAGTGACGTCACTGTCCTGTAACGAGCTGCCCGGCGTCCGACCAAAAGGAAACCCCATGTCGGCACCCCCTGCTTTCACTAGCACTGCTAGTGGTGCCCACAGCGGTGACTGAGCGCTACTGGATTATAAAACGTCAAAAACTTATTTACTTATCTCTTGTCTTGCTCGGCATTGGTGCACGTTAGGAATCGGATGACGTTACAGGTGATTGCTACCCCCAGCAGTTCATTTCAACGCAACGCAGAAATCCCTCCAGTTCGTTTGGAGAACAGGCCCCAGAGAAGAAAACAGCAACGTATTTTTCTGAATATAGTTGCATTAGTCATCCACCGGTCACCTTGTGTTATAAGAAAATGCCACCATGGTCCTTGATCTATTTTTCATGCGGAAGGGCTGGCTTTGCCCATTCGGTTCTTTTGTATCTTATCATCAAACCGTTCCAGCTAGAGCCTGGAATTTGGGCACTTCCTTGGCTATCGATTTCACGAGGTCCGGTACCTGTCGCCTTACATTAGCCGAGATAGCCCCAAGCTTGGTGTGAGATACGTCAGGTAAAAGGTCCTTCGTTCTGTCACTGAAAGCTGATGTTTCACTATCATCACGTATGTTTTGAACAAACACTTACCATATCCGCTAAAAACGTGGAATTTTCGGAGGCGGATGCCGAATATATGCAGGCAGGATAAATCCATCACCGATGTCTGACGTTGGTTTTGAGCTGAAAGTAATGTATGATTGTGCATGCGGTAGATGCTGGCACGGCTAGTGCAGCTCTGCAATCTTTTATGCAATAATCCATTCATCTCCAGGCGGAAGAATGACATGAGAAAGGTCAACGCAGGCACATGCGTTAGGAGAACGGTGGTTCATGTATGAAGCCGGGCTCTCTCGGATGGTTGGTTCATTAACGCCAAATGACTATGACATCCCCGAAGAGTTCAGATTTTACACACGCGTGTGTACATACTATGAATGTTTAAAATGTAGCAAAGGGGGAAGAATAGTAGCTTTGATGACTTGCGCCCATCGCAGTCGTCTTTCAAGCATACATTTTCCTGCCTTCCAAGCCCTTTGCATATCGCTGACTTCGCATGTCCTTCTTCCCTGACCTAGGGTATAGTCAGAGTTGAATGCGATTATCATGACATAGAAGAGAGGAACTGTAAACGTACCATTTCGTTTTATTCCATTGTATTGCATTGTAACGATCTGCCGCAAGTACCTCAGATTATCACGATGCTTAATTTGCCACTGATCCTAAAATCGCTTTTAAATTTGCGCCTGGAATCACCTTGGTGTGGACATAGAATTCCAAACAGTGGAAAATATTTGAAAGCGTTGTTTGGCTGATGTGACCAATTTGTTTGATATTTACGTCTGTTTTCTATCCGTCCACTTACATTGTAGTTAAAAGCAATGTAGAAAGCACTGCAAGATCCTGCGGAAGTTGTGACTACGGAATTCTGAATTCAGTGCTCTAGTTGGCTGTTCCCGAACCAATTGGACGTATGTACGCGCATACCATTTCAACCAAGATTGACTTCAGTATAATTTTCTTTCAATTAATTATCAAATGCTTGCATTGGTGTTCATTATTGAAAGCCCCTGCGCTGGTGTACCGAGCGATGAAAAGCAGCGTGAAAAGTGCAGCAGGACCTAGACACGGGCGGAGGAGATAGCAAGCCCCCTGAGAGTGTAACTAGTTTGGTGACTAATGATCAGCAATGATGCTGTCCGGAGCGTCTTTAATGACGGTCTTCAGGAACGTAAGCGTTGGCTAAATGCTTCCGATTGGACGTAATAACCTGCTGAACATCCGCGGCATACACTGCGGTCGGCGCGGTCAGTGACCAGCGCCAAGTACCGGTACCTATGATAGCTCACACAACTAGGCATTTTGTTGGATCCCGAATGCATCCCTGGACCCGGATCATCCAGATCGTGGCGCCTGGCACTCAGCTCTTCCGAGGTCCAAGGCGCATTGCAACATTTTGCCGAAAAAGCTTTTTGGATCCTGTATTTTTCTACCTGTTAGAGACATGTCTTCCGAAACACAAGATCACTGTCATAAATTTTGTGAAAAAGCTCTCAGGACTCAGGATTTATCTTAATTTTTACAGGATGTTTGATATAAACATCTCAACTATATACAGATTCCAGGACATTTTCCATTATTTTGAACCATCGGCAGGGAATGATGCTAGGAATTTGCTGTGAATTTGTTAAATGCCATGAATTTCCACAAGGACATTCTGGGGTCCGTAAATTTTTTGAAATTATGTCATGGAAACCCCCGTTATCTGGCGCTAGCTGTATTTTTGGGTACCAGTCGTTCCAGATGCAAGATTCAGTTGTTTGGGTTATCACATGTTAATTGGGATGCGGGATCTATCTGGATGCTCTGCACATGAGCCTGCCTTCCACCACCTGGTGAACGGACATGCCCGCATAAGTGATCCATCATTCCTGACGCGTCTCGGGGCTGCCATGCGGCAGTTTCTCTGGATTACATAATACGGAAGAGCGGTAGCGAGTACGGAGCCACAGCCGCTACCAGCTCGAAGGTCCGCAACCATCATGAGCACCCGCTGAAGCAGCTGATCCGCCAGTGCTGGGTGCGGGCTGTCGGCGTCGTAACCGAGCCCGGCCGGCCAGCGGGACCTCCATGGGCCGGTGCTGGCCGTCACGCCAACATACCGACAACGTCGTAACCGAGCCTCGTTTCCGGGGACGGGCCGCGCTGTGCAGACGGCGACAAAGGGTTAATGATGTCTCCTCTGATTAATGTCGGCCGGCCTTTGTTACGGCTAATGGCCCGGTCGGCCGGTATGCACCGCCGCCGCCGCCGCCGCCGCCGCCGCCGGAGGCGGACGCTATCCTGGCCGCCGCCGGCGGCGGCCGCCCGCCCCGTAGCGCCTGGGGAGGTGGAGCCCCGGACGGCAGCACGGCCGTCCCGGCGGGCGCGGCTCCGTGCCGACACGGCCCGCTGGGACACGCCACATCACTGATTGCCCGCTGCCATCGGGCGATGATTTAATGCGGCGGCGACGGCGCGACCAATCAGCGCCGCCGCCCGCCGCGGCGACCAATGGGCGGCGGCGGCGCGCGCGCGGCGGCCGCGATGGCTCCCCGCCGCGCCGACAGTGGCGTGTGGACACTGCTGCCGGTGGGGGTCGGTGGTTGGGAGGCGCGATGTCACGCGGCGGCGGCCGGCAGCGGTGCGTGCGGCCGTGCTAGCGCTGCGAGCTCGGACCAGTGCGCCGGGGCTCGGCGGCGGCGCCCTTCTCGCCAAGCGGGCCGCTCGCGGCCCGGTCAACATGCCGGCCGGCGGGCCGGAGCCGAAGGCCATCTCTCGCTGCAGACGCGCCGGCTAAACTATGCGGCTGCTCGGCGCGCTCGTCTGGCTCACGGCTCTCTGGCAAGCGACCGGAGCCATTTCGTGGCTGTGAGTATGCGGTGCGAGTGCGCCGAACTTGTGGTGGGGGGTGGGGTGGGCCGATCCTCTTCACAAGCGGTGGCTTGGCCCTCCCCGAGTGGCTGCGTTGATAGATGACCAGCGTTTGGGCGGAGACTGTGATGGAAAAGGCACATGTGTTGTTCGGTGGTGCCATATGTGTGCTCACAGGCGCAGGCGGCGCCCTATCGCAGGCATGCAAAGCTGCCCAACGAGCGCTTAAATTTGCGGTTGGTCTGACCGCCTGCCATACTTAGAGTTGCGCTTGTGGCATGCTTAAGCCGCTTTTCCAGGTTTAGCATCCCGCTTTCAAACCTCACGACACGGCTTTTACGGCCAATCGAAATGCCACCGAGCAATGCCTGGCAGATGATTGAACGCCCATAGTTATTATTATGGAGCTCATAAACATCGACGTCGAATTCCAGTCTAAGCGCAGATGTGCCGTCGAGAGGCATTGCTTAGGAACAAACCCGCTGGCCCCAATAGGGTGTTAGGGTGTTCTGTGATATATGCATCTTCAGTAAGGTCGATAGTGTGCCTGTTTCCTGTAGCTAAAACAATATATCTTATTATCGGATACCGTCGTTGCCGACGCCTCCATCTATCACGTAACAGTTGTCGTCGGCCACCTCCATGGCCACCTCCATTTTGCACAAGTAGCGCAGTACTGGGAGGCTGCGTTCGGTGCCACGTCACATCCTAAGGGTGAGCAGCACAGAAAATTTCGAACGCTGCCTTGAGGCGCTCGGCGTGGACGTCATGGGATGCTCGCATAGTTCCGTCATAGGTGGTCGGCAAAAACTGGTCTCCATCACTCCGAGCGCGCCCGGCTGATTGAAAGGTTCGCCGGCGCACCGTGTGGCGGCAAAAACGGCCGGCCGCCGACCAATCTGCGTTTTTCGCGGCGCTCGATTTCTCTTGAGCTGGCGGCCGCCCGACAGCGGGCCGCCACGGCAGCCGTCAGCGCGCGTGCCGACAGCCAGCCCCCGCTAAACGATGACTGACAAGTCAATTTTGATGGTCGCAGCGATAGGCGTGCACCCGCCCTGGCGTCGACTTAGGCTAAGCATCCGAGTGCTCAACTAGAGCTCACTGTCTGGCTGAGCGAGGTAATTTGGCGGCGGAGAGTGCGCCGATGCGGGCGTAAGCCGCCTCGGGCCGCCGCTGCTGCACGGGGCAGGGCCGCCGGCCGCCGCTGACGGCCTGCCGCTCAGCGGCGCTCTAATGGACCCGGTGCCGCGGCCGCCTGCCGCTGAGCTCCTCCTCTCGTCCCACCGGTCCCGCCGGCCGGCCGCGCCTGGCCGGTCCCGGCCGCACTGGGAGCCCGCGGCCACCCGCCGGCTCGGGCGGGTTACCGGGCGTAGCAGACTGCCGTGCCCTCCTGCCGCGCTCTGCTGCCGTGTCCTCCGGCAGCGGGGCGTGCTGCGAGCGCGCGCGGGACGCTCTCGGACCCGGGACTCCGCAGCCGCCGGATCTGGAGCCGCCCGCCGGAGGTCCGCCCGCCCGGCGCCCGCCGTAAAATGACACCCAATAGCGGAGGATTAGCGGCGCGTAATCCGGGGAGACAAATGAAGGCCGGCTGTCGGCGCACGCGCTGCCCCCCCGTGGCGGGCGTGGCGTCCTTTATTGGCCGGAGCTGCCGGCCGGCCGGCCCCCTCCCGACCCAACCTCTCCCGGAAACGGCCGCGCACAAACTGCCGCCATTTATCCGGTGATCGCAGTCCATCGGGTCGCGCCAACTGCTATAAATCACCCGTACTTAACCCGCTCCGAGATGCTTTATGAGCGTGTTTCAGCGGTTTGAAGGCACACCGCGGGTCTGAATGGCACTGAAAGACGAGCCCGTCGCTGCTTAAGCGGGCGCGCAGGCGCACAATGGCCGGAATAGTTCATTACGCGGTGCCGCGCCGGCGCCTCAGTCCGCTGTTTTCTGTTTCAGGGCGTTCAAGCACGTGGAGGCGGAGGCGTGGAATTCGACGCGCCTGTGCCGATTGTCGCGCCAGCGGCACGGCTTCGTGAAGCGCCAGGAGAAACTGTGCCGCCGCTACCGTGATGTGATGCGCCACGTGCACACGGCCTCGCATCAGAGCATGCACACGTGCCAGAAGCTGTTTGCCAATCACAGATGGAACTGCAGCAGTATTAACTTCGCGCCAAATTATACGCGCGACTTAACTGCAGGTGAATGGTTGTGCATGCGGGCGTGTTATTTTCCAGTCTTTTGCTGTGCTGTGTCATTGCTTCTTGTCTTGTTGTCTTCTTGGCGGTTGTCGAGTGGACATGCACTGTTTTAATGCAGTAAGATGCACAACCCATCGCGCGTCTTGTAGCACATGTAGGAGGCGTCTTGTACGTTAACTACAATAATTGCTTGATGTGGAGAAAGTAGCCGATTTAAGACAAACGAACTTACCTTTTCTTACTTTAAGTCCGCTGCTGCACTGGCACCCGCTGAATTCGAGCAAAAAACGGACTAACTGTTAGGCACGCCAATTTTTTTCAAATCGTCAAAATTGGTAACAAGGTGAGCGTCTCGGCGCGGGCCGCAGTCCCTCCCCGGAGACGTCGTAGGTCCGTTTGTGTAACCCACCCGGCCGGCGCTGTTTCAGGTACGCGAGAGCAGGCCTTCGTGTACGCACAGAGCGCCGCCGCGCTCATGCACTCCGTGGCGCGCGCCTGCAGTGCTGGGACCATTTTCTATTGCGGCTGCGGAAGAACACCGCGTCGGCTTCCCGACGGAAACTTTAAGTGGGGTGGGTGTGGAGACAACACCAAGTTCGGACAGAGGTTCGCGAGGAAGTTCGCCGACTCTGCCGATAGACGGAAATCAAAACGCACGTCGCAGCAAGAGAGACTTCGAGCCAAAGTCAACTTGCACAATAATAGGGCTGGTAGTAAGGTAAGCCATACTCCAGGGTCCCGCTTCAGTGTGAGTGGATGCTGGTTGTACGTATGTGCATGCACACTACAACGTGTTCTGGATTGTCACGCGGTGTTGTCCAGGGGCGAATGCATGCAATCAAAATATCTGATCCCACATGGGAAAAAACAAGGGTACCAGCCCTGTCGTTGTTGCAATTATTGATTGTTGTCCAACAATTAATTGCAATACTACGTACGTGCAATGCCATGTGTATTTTGTGTGCACAAAGCATTGGCAAAGTGAACTAGGTTCGCTTGACTCACTAAGATTCTAATGAAAGATTATACGGTTACAAGAAATGCTGCCTGTTCTCCAGGGCGCACTATCAGCGTCGATTTTTGACTGAACGATCTCTCCCAATGTTCCATACATTCTCCAAAAGGGTTTCGTCTTTCGCTTTGCCTTCAAAATTCAGAGGCGATCTTATCCACGCCACTCGTCATCTTGCAACGCTGGACATGCATCTCAAACACTGCCACCACTGAACAGACCAGCAGCAAGAATGAAGCCCGCCCGTGGCGCGTCTCGCGCCGAGCCCCGCTGTTCCGCTGCCGTTGAGAGCCGGCCGTATCCCGCCCGCAGGGCCGGGTGGGCGGTCGGAGCGTGAGCGCCGGCAGCCCTCTCCGCCCTAGCCTTGCGTTGTTGCCCAGCTCCGATACGGGCGCCGCTGCTCGTCAAACCGGCACACAGGCGCTGCCGGTCACGTCGTTACTCCACAACCGCCGAACGAAGCCCGCAATGATATGCTAAATGCGACTCGGCTTCACTTTAAACATAGATTAAACATGTAAAAGTTGCACTAGCCGCGGCTTGGCGAAATTATAATTACATTGAGCGAATGTGCTCCTGGGTTGCATTCATACCGCATGTAAATTTCCCGGAACCATGGACCCGCTCACTTAAGGATGATTTATAGTTCCAGGGAGCAGCCCAAAATGTGTAATAATTTATGCGACCGTGGCACTATCGCCATGAAAAACAATTATGGCATATTAGAGTAAATTATGTCTGACCGGGGATTGCCGACACCGTCATTTAAGTCCGCTCAACGAGGCAAAACAATGCGGGTACGTCTGCCTCCCGCCCAGTGCTGACAGGCCGCTGAAGAGATCCGCCCATACGTTACTGACGAGTTCGGCCGCCACGCCGCTCCGCGCGGACCACGAGAGTCGCATGTTTTGTCTTGCAGGTCACTCACGGGCAGTTCTCGTTCAACTGTATGGCATCACGCTGCACGTGCGTGATGTCGCCTTGGGTGGGGTGTTTGTATTAGAGTTGTGCATCGACTATGGGCTACAATGAGACCAGATCGCGTGCAGCAACGGGCGGTGTCAGGTCACAAGATGGCACCGTGTTGAGAAACTGTGCAGCTGTTGCAAATTATTTCTGACATCATTTCTGCAGGGCTGTTGAAGACATTATTTATTTGGCACAGACAAATCGTCGATAACTTACCGCCGACGTTTGTGAAGTAAAGAAATAGCTGTGACCGAGCAAAAGCTCCTAGGGATCATCTGGCTTTTCCGAGTCTGTCAGGGATTGTTCGTGGGGTGGGAGGCTGTCCCACATTGCCTTGCGTGGCTTCAGCTAACGTCGACGCAGCAAGCCCCTGCAGACGGGGTACCCTGCTTCACTGGATATAAGGTGGAGAATGGTGCTCCAGCCGCTAGAGGGCGGTGGAGGTCGAGCCAGATGACGTGGGATGTAGATATGCAGACCAGAACTGGTGTGGAGCAGCTTGGGACACTACATGGGTCATCTGGATGTCACAGTGATTTCGTGGTGACATGTGAAGCTTCTCCAACTGCGGATACGCGTATTTGCGTTAGACATCCATTTCATAGCCGCGTCATTAACGCTGACGAACCAAAACGAAATGAAGGTCAGATAAGCAGGGTGGGTTCGTGTTGCCGACATGAATTCATTGAAATTGTTCCTGTGTCTAAGTTCAGTTTTAAAGGCGAACGTGCACTGGAGCTTGACAGGTAAAGGATCCTTTAGATGAAATATCGTACGATAAAATGCATTTTATACCGGTAAGGGCTTAACGTCAGCCACTTACAGGGTTTAGCCCACTTTTATAGAGGGTTACATGAGGACCATTCTGGACACGGTGTATGGTGTGGTGGAATTCACGCTGATTGTTTTATGTCTCGGTTTCGAAGTGCCCGGCTGATTGTTTTAGTGCGATCACATTCCAGTGGTGAGCCATTGTCACTCCCGAATTCCGCCCGGTCCTAGGTTGGGGAGCACTCGGCGAAACAAACAATCGACCAGACTTGTGAGCTTGCCGCTGCGCGGACTCTTTTTATGATTAGTGGAGTCCTCTCAAAGCTTTTCAAGATTATTTGCCCCTAGCGATTCCTCAACAATTTTTGGCGAGGTCCCATTCGGTATTTTAGCTTCGTTTGCTCTCTGAGAACGTTACCGCCTGAACGCATAAGCCATGGCGCGATACAGACCTCCAGCCATGGATTATCCAGTAACGGTGTCCTGGCGCCTCTCACACCGTTCCAGATGTTCTTGTCTCAAGAAAGTTCTTGAGCTGTACTCTTGTCACTCGAGGGAAGTCCAAACCCATCGAAATCCCACAGACGCATACTGAAGTAATCACTCAGCAGCTGTTTGTGTGAAGCATGCCCGAACTCTGCCTTGAGCTGCCTGGAAACGGAGAGGAGTACGACAAAAGCCTGTTTGGAACCCACATCAATGTGTATTTAGTCTAGTTCTGTCGCCTGCTGGTGGTGGTTTGGAGCCTGTTGTTGACAATGCCAGTCTAACCACGTGCAGTCCTTTTGAAGGTCATTTGGAGCAAGCCGAAATTTGCATGAATATTTCGTTCGTGCGATCGGATAATTTGAAAATCTGTCATAAATCGGATGAGGTGTGTATGGAGTCTGGAGCCCACGAGAGATCGCCTGGATAAGTCTTGGACTTTTCCTGAATATTGCTCGCTTGCCACCCTCATACAGTCCATGTGCAGTCTTTCAAAATCCCTCTGAAGTTGGAAGATGGCCAAGGCCAATCTTGCAGTCAGTGCGCCCATTGAGGAGAGCGTTGTCAACTTAGTACCAACTGCTGAGAGTGTGGTCCATACCTGTGTTTGACTTACCTTCGCGCGTTTTGGACCGATCACATAAATCGATGCAAAATTTTGTTAGCCTTATTAGAGATCAATAAGGTATTTTTTAAGACGGGAGTCGAACAATCTGGTATGCTTATCCCTTTCAACTTAAATGCATCACTTGCTAAAAAAAATCCACCAACATAAATCGAATGTCATCAGTCATATCTAGTTTCGTTTAAATTCAGTTCATCAGTCAATCATGAACACTGGGGGCAGACAATACGCAAATATTGGGCCAGTTCATTGGTAGAGCAACCAGGAAAAAGTGCGGACTACCAACTATCTCCAGAAGTTCAGAGGCGTGCTCGTAATTGCAGAATAGGAGCAGGGCACAACTTATCTTTTAAACTGAAAATCGAATTGCGCGCTGTGCATAATTTTGGGTGTGGGAAAACAACATTTCATGTTCTAGATCTTTTGGTTTTACGCGTTCACCTCGAATTTCTGTCAGCACGTAGACACGGCCCCTGCATAAGCTGCATCACCACAGTTATTTCAATATGACAGGTAGAGTACGCATAGCATGACACGGACCTCTTCTCTGTGAGGCTTCTTGCTTCAGTTTTCATGAAATTTGCACACCAGCTTTTCGGGGATTCTCGAGCTGTGCTAGAAATACAGTGAATTTCCATCGAACGGCATGGGGAATAAACGGTTGCAGAAAGTTGATTTCCTAAGATTTACTAAAGCTATAAAAAATGTCCACAATACATATAAGCATATGACGAAAGTTGTTGAGTGCATTTGCGAGGAAGAAGATAATATTTAAAGCCTTATTACTTGTAGAATAGTCAGGAAAACGGAGACCTAGATCTTTAATGTTTCGGTTACATGCCTTTATCAAAACAAGCATTTCAACGAAATGCTGATGTTCGCTTCGGATAGTGCATTTTTAGCTGTAGTAGTGGATGTTAAAGTAGTACATGTACTGCTGATGTTCGTTGTGATAAAGACATGTAGCCGAAATATCAATATACCCATCTCTCCATTCTCTTGGCTATTCTACGAGGAATAAGGCGATTAGTGCCGTTTTGCTATCCAACCACTGACTGCGGTGCTTGGATAGCAAAGCAACATCTGCTTTATATGTAGGCAGATACAAACCTGTGATCGTAATGCAAAACCTGCGCCTATTCTAACGAGTTTTGTGTTGGCATTGGATGAGTTTTGCTAAACTAAATGCGGTTTCGGGTTATTGGGCAGCACTTATCTTACCTCCCCATCATTTGACAAGGCGGTCAGTTACAGAAGGCGCTTTTCGCCGATTCCGGATAATTTGCTGACTAGTGCGTGTAACACTTTATATATTGCACTAAATTTTTGCCTGTATCTCTATGAAGGTGTTTAAATTCAACATTTGGATTCATTTGACGTGGCTTTCTCATATTTGTATCGTGCACATATCCAAGATGGACGACAAAAATATATTGCAACTATTTTAAGATATCCCTACCGGTTGTCTACATGCCTTCGCTACTGAGCTTACGGAATGAAAGCAACCTGGAGTATGATACGCAATAACAGAGTCTTCGCAAAACTAATGCTTGGATCAGAATGTTTCCACACGCTTCAAATGAATTTCACGGCGTGGTTTTCGCTGTATTGTAAAACTTTCTGATTCCTCTTTGTATATATATACATATATTATATATATATATATATATATATATATATATTTACACATATATATAGGAATCATATGCTGCCCCGTTTTCTTTCAGTTAGTGATGTGGGTGAGGGTGACGCTACCTGTGACAACGCTACAAGAATCCCGGATCAGTCTGGCCCTTTCCATGTGGTTGGAGAATGTCTTTCATTTTGGCTCATCGATGCTTTAGTAGTCAGCACT